TCGTGTCAGGTGGCGGAAGCCGGCCGCACAGTCCAAGAGTGCTCGTTTTGCAACGTGCCGCTTACCGGATATTGTATCCACTGATGACAATGGTCAAGTCCGTTGTGTTGTTGACGAGTATCAAGACAGTATCGCTGCCAGGCTCAGGAGTGCCGCCGACCCCTGCTCCACTGTTGGTGAAAAATGGAACAACATCCGTAGTGCTATGACAGATGCCGCACAGTCTGCCTTGGGCCGCCAGGGTCGCCGACAGCCGGACTGGTTTGCTGATAGCAGGGATACTTTGAAGCCGCTACTGGTGGAACGTAATGCCTGCCATCGGTCTTGGATAACGAATGGTCGTCGGAACGATGACTACCAGAAGCTGCGCACGGCACGACGACAGGCTAGGCAGGCAGTGCGCACGGCTAAGAACCAGTGGTTTGCCACAGTTGCGGGCAGGGTTGAGATTGGCCGGTTTAATTCCGCACGCGTGTGGGCCGGAGTACGGTCCTTACAAGATGCCCGATCTGGCCTCAAGCCAATCCCAAATATGGCAATCCTAGATGAGAATGGCAACATCTGTACTTCTCCGGCGGAGCAGGGACAGCGATGGTCGCGCCACTTTACCAAGGTCTACAACATCCCCAGCACATTCGACTCCGGTGTTATCGATCAGGTGGAACAGCGGGACATCGTCGAGGAGCTTGGCGAACCACCGAACTTTGCTGAGCTTCAGCGTGTGGTGTCAGCCATGAGCAATGGGAAGGCGGCTGGCGGCTCTGACATCTTACCTGGGATGGTTAAGGCCGGTGGCCCCGCTCTTATGTGTGCCCTCTTGGACCTCGTGTGTACCGTGTGGGAGGCCGAAGCAGTCCCTCAAGAGTGGGTGTTTTAGCAATCTGGTCCCCATCCCGAAGAAGGGCAACCTTGCCAAATGCGATAATTGGCGGGGCATTGCTTTGTTTGAGGTAGTTGGCAAGGTCGTTGCTGCCATGATTCAGCGCCACTTGCAGTCTTTGGCCGAGACCATCCTTCCCGACTCCCAATGTGGTTTTAGGAAAGGTCGGTCATGCACGGATATGGTTTTCGCCGTTCGGCAGGTCGCAGAGAAGCTCTACGAACATCGGTGCAAGGGTTTTCTAGTCTTCGTAGACCTCCGTAAGGCGTATGACTCTGTCAGCCGCCAATGCCTAAGGCAGGTGTCCCTGAGCGCCTCATCAATATCATATGCTCTTTCCACACCAATATGACAGCAACGTTGAAGATCCCGGCAGTTGATGCGCCACCAATTGAGGTGCGGAACGGCCTCCGGGAGGGTTGCTGCATGGCACCGGTACTCTTCAATCTGTTGATGTGGGCCGTTTTCCAGCAGTGGCATCGTGCTGTTGCCGACATTCCTGGCGTTGGTATTCCTGTGGCAACAAACCCTGGGGGCAGTCTCCTATTCAGTCGGAAGTCAACAGACAAGAGCAAGGTCCATCGCGAGTGTCAATTTGCAGATGACTCTGCTCTGCTGGCGACCACTCATGATGGTGCACAGCGGGCCCTTGACCAATTCATACATGTAGCGTATTCTTTCGGCTTGACAGTCAACCTGGACAAGACAAAGGTGATGGCTGCTGGATATGGACTCGCGGAAGCAGACAGGCTGCCCCTGGACGTGGCGGGTGACGTGGTCGAGTGTGTAGATAGTTTCCGTTATCTTGGCTCTCTCCTCCACATGAATGGCCGCTCTACCCCAGATATCAGCTCGCGCATTGCCGGTGCATCACGTGCATTTGGAGCCCTGCGCCAGCCGGTTTTCACTGACAGCAACCTCTCACTTGCTACGAAGCGGCTTGTGTACGGGGAATGCGTGCTGTCTCTGCTTCTGTACTGTGCTGAGTGTTGGGAGCCGTTGAAGCCCGACCTTGATGCACTGTGCTCTTTCCATCTGCGCTGCATCCGTTCCGTGATGGGTATCAGCCAGCGGAATGTCTGGGACGAACGACTGACCAGGGTTGATGTTCTGGAGCGGTGGAATCCGCGTCAGCCCCGTGACATCTCCAGCCTGCTGACATCGCGCCGCATGGAGTGGCTTGGACATGTTGTGCGAATGCATGAGGAGTGTGCCCCGCGTCAACTACTGTTTGGCACCCTACATCCTGTGCGTCCAATGTGCGGCCCGAGGAAAAGGTGGCGCGATGCTGCGCGGAAGGATCTGGCGGCGTTGGGCATCGACGAATGGTATGACTTGGCCCAGGATAGACGGGAATGGCGGGCCGCTTGCAGTGTTCTGCCCCCGCCCGAACCCGTTTGTGAGCCCCTGCGGATACCTTGTGCCGAGTGTGGCTGTCTCTTCTCCAGGAGTGGTTTGCCTCGTCATAAATGCCTCGATGAGTGCCGCAAACCTGTATCAGAACAGAGAGGTAGCCGACAATGTTCTTCCTGCGAGCGCTGGTTCCGCAGTGCCGGAGGTTTGGCGGCCCACAAGTGCCCCAACTCCCAGATGCTCCCCGCGACATCGTCTCGGGCTCCGTGCCGGACGGCGGTGTCTACCATTGCTGGTCAGGCGACTCCTCCGCCGCAGCGTGTGCGGCTCGCTCTCTCATATTGCAAGGCCCACTGTGGGGCCTGTGGCCGATGCTGCCGCTCTACTCGTGGATTCCAAATCCATAGCCGCCGGAGATGGCCCTCTCGTCGTGCCGATTGAACATGGTCCCTGATCTCTCGGCAGACTGCCGACTTTCTGCCGTCGCGCCTCGTTTTCCATGTTGTCGGCCCCGCGAGGGGACACGTGACCGTAATGGCAGTGTTTACCAGGACCAGGACCAGGTGTGTGCGTGTGTGTCTCATATGGTGCAGTTCTAAGTTCAGTCGATTTCCAATCAAGAGGTGGAGGGTTCGATTCACGAAGATTATGGTCACACACGTCTTTCTTCTTTTTCTCAGACTCCTCCTGACCTTTCCTTCATTCTGCTGCATGGTAACAACCAGTGCATGCCGGAGTATGCGGTGTGATGTTTCTGTGGAATAGAAATAAGAAAAAAGATCAAAAAGTAGGGATTCATCAGCCAGAAAAAGCCACTTTAAATTGCAGTGTGGTGTAGACCAGGCTGAATAGCGGAGTTCAAATCTTCAGCCTTGCAATCTGACCAGCGCTCTGCGAAAACCGACCTTAGGTGCTATTTTGGCGAAATTGAGTTTGTGCTGGATTCTTGACCCATGACCCTTTCTTCAACTTCGGGTGAAGTTTGATGTGGATTGCATACATATTCAGTTAGATACAATGACGATTTCTTTGCACTTTTCCTACAATATTTTGAGAAAAAGTAGCAAAAATCCTGGATTTTATGCTTAATTTTGGAGCCAATGCTGTGAGAATTCAAGCAGCATGATTGCAGCCAAACTTTGCAGAATAAATCTGCATGTCATAATCTTCAAAAGGAAAGGTTTATAATGGCATTGGATCTTCCTGTTGTGGAGATAGACATATTCTTTCTCTCTTCTGTGGATGGTGTTGCTCACGAATCTGCTGGAAGAGGTATTTGGCTCTGTATGAGGATATGCCAGCCAGAGTGACGGGTAGAGGCAGGTGCAAAGTAGTGAAGAAGCTCAGATCAATGCCAGGTTAAAGGATATTGATAGTTTTATCTGGTACTGGTAGTAGAACATCTAGTTATGTCTACATCTGCCGCACACATTGTTTCATAATCGGTGATATCATGGCAGTCTCTTTTCCAAATCTTGCCAAACGTACTGTATGCAGCTTTGCCACCAGGCTTTGTGAACGCCTGGTGAACAAGCTTCTTCGTAGTGATACTGGGCAAATACATGTAGGTTGGTACTGGCTTGTTGTGCCCATGTGGATCTGCAGGTTAAGGGAGGCCATGAGCTATAGCATAATGCTCTATAAAATGCTTCAGCTCCACAACATCTTCCACAGGCAGTGCATTCCAGAATTCATTCAATTCCTGTGTTGGGCTGATTTCCCTTGCACTGACAGCAGCCTGCACAGATTTCAGCACCCAGGGCTTGATCCTGGGCTGGAGGCATACACAAAGACTTCCTGACATGCATGTACATGACTTCCACACCAGCCACTGACTAGTAGTTCATAGTAGTATTGTTGAGCCCCATCTTATCACATCTCCAAGCAGGCTGGACGCGCTGGGTAGCCTCACCACGTCTCCTGAGCACCTCTAGCTTTCCGCCTTCACACAAGCAGCGCTCTGACTTGGTCAGGACGTGCGCTGTGTGCGCTGTAAATGTAAAGCAAGGTTTCAAGTGTCAAGCTCTTGAAACAGCACCAGTGCGGAACAACTAGTCTACAGCCCTTGTCAAACTTGTCGCGCGCCTCCTGGATTGTAGACAGTACTTGAACCGATTTTTCTTGGTCTGCACTCTGTTTATTGCCGGCATTGAGGTGCTGGGCTGGTGGCAAAACTGATGCCTGATCGAAATTCTCCACCCCATGGCCGTCCAGCTCGATCTGGGTAGCGTCCTGCGATTCCACATCCAACTCTCCTTGGCACTGCTGTCATCAGAACTGCGATTGGACCATTCCAAAAAATGACTATTCATCATAAAGGAGTTCGGATGAAACCTCTGGGAGAAGCCCACAGCAATTATTTGAGCTAGCGACTGTCTTCTGCTTCGTTCTGCCATGACTCTCACCTTGTGATCTTCAAAAATCGACAGACCGTGACGTTTTGTTCTTTTTCTCGAAAAAATTAGAAGCACCTAAGGTCGGTTTTCGCAGAGCGCGGGTGAATTATTCTATTGAATGGTGCAGTCCCGGTACAAGTTGCTATAGCTTCTGTTGTAGCATCACTATCATGACCTCCAGCGTCAAAAGGTCAACATGTCAAAAGGCAAGTGTTTGTGTATCTGTGTGTATATGTGTGTGTCTGTGTGTCTCCGTGTGTGTGTGTGCACGCGTGAGAGAGCATGCATGTGTCTGGGTATGTATGTATGGTATGGGGTGTGTGTGGGTGGGTGTGCGTGTGTGATTGCGCCTATTTATATGATCAACATAGGTGTTTGAGAAAGGAGGAAGGCAGTTGAACAAGTTTGGTACTAAAGGAAGTGGACCAGGACAGTTCAACAACCCAGTGGGTATTGTCTCGTCCAACGGCAGATTGCTGCTTGTTGATGAGTCCAATCACCGTATCCAGGTTAGGCTATTGTTCTAGGAGGATGTCCATAATGTGTGTGTATATGTGTGTGTATGTGTGTGTGTGTGTGTGTGTGTGTGTGTGTGTGTGTCCCTGTGTTCACTGGGGACGGTTGTGCTTTTTTGAGCTGCTGCTTACTGCAAGTCCTCGACCTTTGTAAACTTCACAGAGGCCTGAGGTGGCCCTCTTTGGGCCGCCTCTAGGCCAGGGAAAGCGCATGACAGAGGGAAGCATACAGCTGAGAGACGGGACGGCAATTTGGTGCCGTCACTTTTAGTTGTACCCGACGTCGCCGCTCGCGGAGGTTTGACAAGCCCCCGAGCGGATTTGCACAACATCGCGCGATGAAATCTGTCAGAGAGAAGAGAGGGAGAGGGAGACGTTGCCTGCTGTGTTTGGGCTCATGGAACGTGAGATCCTTGGTGGAGCGGGACGGCAACATCGACACTGCTTGTGTTTCTGGACGCGTCGTGGAAGACAAAAAAATTCACCGAGTTATTTCTGAACTGAAAAGGCTGAAAGTGGCGGCGGCAGGCCTGCAGGAAACCCACTGGTTTGGACAAACTATCTACGCTGTCAACGGATTTACTGTGATCTGTTCGGGCCGCCCCACTCCTGGCGAAGAGGATAATCGACGTCGAGGTGAGGGAGTTGCTCTTGTTTTGAATCGTGATACAACTTCGGCGTGGAGGGCTGCGTATGGAACGCGGTGAGTTCTCGGATTGTGAGTGTACGTTTGAAGTACTGTGCAGCTGATGGACCGGATGTTTGGCTCACTCTGGTCAGCGTTTATGCTCCAACGTTTGCTGCGTCGCGGGCATGCAAGGAATTATTTTATGACGATCTACAACGCACTCTGTACGATGTACCCCAGACTGACCATTGTGTAGTGCTTGGCGGTTTCAATGCTCGAGTCGGATCTAGTGAGCAGGGTGATGAGTGGTCCACTGCATGTGGTTCGCATGGATTTGGTGCACTGAACTCTTCAGGAGCTGACCTGCTATCATTTGCTGCATTAAATCAGTTTAGTATTTGTAACACTTGGTTCCCCAAGCGAGACCTCTTCAAGCGGACTTGGCAGCACCCAGGCACTTTGAACTGGCACTGTATCGACTACATTCTAGTGCGCCAGGAGGACCGCCGTTGGTGTATGGACACTGCGGTCGCGCGCAGTGCTGAGTGTGGAAGTGACCACCAACTCCTCTGTTTAACTTTTGCACTCCCGTGTGGACGATTAGTTCGGGAGCGCGACCAGGCAAATGTGCGGCGCCGCCGTTATGATGTTGCCCAGCTGCGGGTGCGCACCTCGGGCCCGGACTCACCTTCGCCTGCAGAAAGGTACCAAGCTACCATTGCACCCGAGCTTGTAGATACATGGCAAGAACAGCACGACATAGATCAGAAATGGTCCAACGTCAAAGCGGCTATCGACAAGTCTGCGGCGTCTGTCTTGGGCTTCTCCCGGCGTCGCCAACCAGACTGGTTTCGGGAGGCAGAGTCAGCCATCCAGCTATTGCTAGATGAACGAAATCGGTGCTATACCGACTGGCTATGTAGTGGCCAGAGCCGCGACTGCTCGCACTACACAGCGTTTAAGGTGGCTAGATCCAGGGCGCGTGCTTTCATATCCTCGGCTAGGGTAGACTGGATAAAGGCAAAGGCACAGGCGGCCACAGAGTCGAGATTCAATGGAGCGGTCGTATGGAAGTGCATCCATGACCTCCAGTCTTGTACCCGGGGCCTCGCCCCTGTGCACACTTCCGCCGTGCTGGATGAGAACGGTAACATCTGCAGTTCACCAGAGGAGCAGAGCCATAGGTGGGGAAGACACTTTGACGGTGTTCTCAACGTGGCAAGTGCATGGAATCGCAATGCCCTGGACGACATCCCACAGCGACAGGAGGCTGATCATCTTGCTGAGGCGCCGACTCTCCGTGAAGTCAGCGCGCTATCTCCCGCCTACAGAACGGCAAGTCCGCTGGAGCCTCTGGCATCCTCCCTGAGATGCTGAAGAGGGGTGGCCCTGACCTCACCGCCAAGCTTGTGGAGCTGTTTGGCGATGTGTGGCGTGCTGGGGTGGTCCCGCAGGAGTGGGTGGACGCCACGTTGGTCCCCATCCCAAAGAAAGGGGATTTATCTCGCTGTGATAATTGGCGGGGTATCTCACTGCCGGATGTTGTGGGCAAGGTTTTGGCGAGCGTCATCCAGACTCGTCTCCAGTCCGTGGCTGCGGATTTTCTCCCAGAGTCTCAGTGTGGCTTCAGGCGTGGCCGATCTTGTACAGATATGGTTTTCAGTGTTCGGCAGTTCCTCGAGAAGACCATTGAGCACAACTGCAAAGGCTTCTTTGTATTTATAGACCTCAAGAAAGCCTATGATTCCGTGCCTCGGGATTGCCTGTGGGAAGTCTTATCCCGAGCGGGTATCCCTGCTCCCATGCTTGCTGTGATCCGTTCCTTTCACACTGACATGTCGGCGGTGGTTCGGGTAGAGAACACGACAACTGACCCTATCCGTGTCACGAATGGTCTCCGTCAGGGGTGCACCATGGCACCTGTGCTGTTTAACATCTTCATGCGGGCGGTGGTGACTGTGTGGCAGCGACGAGTCCGAGATGTCCGGTGTTGGTTTTGAGTTCCGGCATTGTGATGGTGACAATAACCTTTACCGCAAGCCTACCAGGACAGATCCGATTGCCATTGCCATTGAGTCACAGTTTGCAGACGACTCAGCACTTTTCGCGACGACTCGTGCAGGGGCGGAGATGGCACTTGCAGTGTTTGACACGACCGCAGCTGAGTTTGGGCTTAAAGTTCGCGCTACCAAGACACAGTTCTTGGTTGCAGGTAGGGATGTTTCGCCTGGGGACTGCGCTCGAATCGAGCTAGCTGGCACGGTCATCGAGTGTGTTTCGGAGTTCCGGTATCTGGGATCTCTCATTCATCACGGTGGCCGGTCGACACAGGACATCACTGCTCGGATTGCGCATGCCTCTCGTGCTTGTGGCGCCTTGCAAGGAACCATCTTCAGCAATCCTGACCTTGATTTGCATATCAAGAGGTGTGTGTTTAATGCATGTGTGCTGTCGCTCCTCCTCTATGGGTCAGAGTGTTGGACACCATTGCAACACGATCTGCAACGTTTGTCAGTCTTTCATATGCGGTGCATCCGTTCCATCCTGGGTGTGTCCCGCAGAGATTGCTGGAATAATCACACGACCAACGCCCAACTGTTGGAGATGTGGGGTGACTCTGATACCATCTGCGTGAAGGTCGCACAGCGTCGCCTAGAGTGGCTGGGCCATGTTGCCCGAATGGACAGTAGCCGGATGCCGAGACAGATCCTGTTTGGCTCACTTCTCACACGTCGCCCAGCACATGGCCCTCGCAAGCGCTGGAAGGATTGCGTTGTCTCCGACCTAAGAGTTCGTGGCCTCACCAAGGAATGGTACCCTATCGCCTGTGAGTCCCGCGCTGACTGGCGGACTATGTACGCCGAGCCTGTGGAGAATGTGCCTCAGCCTGACCCAGTGGTATGTGCGGATTGCAATCGGTCATTCTCGCGCCCTGGAGATCGCGCTCGCCACAAATGTGTGGTTGAGCGGGCAAAGCCGATTGCTGAGCAGCGAGGGGCTTGCCACTGTGGAGATTGTGGGCGTTGGTTTCGCAGCAAGGGTGGTTTAGCTGTTCACCGCTGTTCCGCACCTCAGCCTCAGCCTCCCGAGCCCCGGCAAGTCTATGTGCAGGATGCCTGCTGTGCTGCGCACTGTGCCGTGTGTGCCCGCTGCTTTCGGTCTGTGCAAGGCCGCGGTCGTCACCGGTGCTCGAGGACTGGCCCGCGCCCGACTGCCCAGCAGCGTAATTCGTTCAGCCATGTATGCGTGTGTTCTCGCCGGTTCCGTTTGCCCCACCATCTCCGGCGTCATCAGGCTGCGTGCTCCATCTTCCTCTCTGATGCCCCTCTGGGGTCCACGTGACCCCTGTGGCAGTGGCTCTACAGGACAGGACAGGACAGGTGTGTGTGTGTGTGTGTGTGTGTGTGTGTGTGTGTGTGTGTGTGTGCCGGAGTATGTGGTGGTGTGTGTGTGTGTGTAAAATAAAAAAATAAAAAATATAATTTATATTCGCATACTGAGCCAGGAATAATATTTTTCTGGTGAAAAGCAGTGATTTGAGTGTGAGCCAGTGTTGCTCACAACCAATTTTTGAGCCAGGAATAATACGTAAAAAAGAGAAGAAACATATCAGAACGAGTTATGCAGCAACTATCCACGACTGTAACAAGATGATAAACGGTCAGAATGTGCGATAAGAAGGCACAAAACTTACAGGCTACTGAGACATTCTGACCGTTTATCATCTTGTTACAGTCGTGGATAGTTGCTGCATAACTCGTTCTGATATGTTTCTTCTCTTTTTTTTACTAAAAACGAAAAATGAAAAATAGGGTTTCAGTGGCCAGAAAAAGCCACTTCAATCAGCTGTGTGGTGGATACCAGGCTAAATTAGTGGCGGTCAATTCATCAGCCTTGCAAGTTGTTGAATGGTGTAATCCCAGCACAAGTTGCTATGTCTAACATAGCTGTTCGCTATCATCGCTTCCGCGATAGGCAGATCTGAGATGTGTGTGTGTGTGTGTGTGTTTGTGTACGTTTGTGTGTTTAAAAGTCATCCGTAAATACCGATATTCATTTAGAAACGAAAACTAGTCGTTTCTCTTCAACCCCCCTCCCCCCCCCCCCCTCCATCAGCAACGAACACATACAAACGATGCATAGTATCGATATTTTTTCTTTTCTCTTCAGGACGTGCCCACACATACAAACTGTGCATCGATATTTTTCGAGCGAACAGGCGCTCAGCCCCCTCCCCCCTAAACGACTAGTTTTCGTTTTTAAATGAATATCTATATTTAATGGATGGCCCCTAGGCTTATGTGTATAGATTCTTGGTTGGAGAAAAGCAATTCAGCACACGAATCACAGAAGCCATACAGTTTTA